TCTTTGGCTCTGGCTCTGGCTCTGGCTGATTTATCTGCTGCCTCTGGGCCTCTTTGTTTGCCATCGATTGCGATTTGCCTTCAATTATTGCTATACGACACAAACATATTGTTGCGTGTTTGGCTTATCAGTGAAATGGCTAGAGATCGTAGTGGCACTCAAGTGATGTACAGAAAGACGGCACGTGTTGGGCTCAGTGAGCGAGCGAGAGGGAGTGAGTGGGGGAGAGGGAAAAAGAGGAATCCCCCTTATATAGTCGAGATGTATGAAAAGTCGGCGCAGCTCAAAGTGAACTAAGTTGGCTGACTTCTCATAGACATTTCGTTGACTTTTATGATGGTTGACAGCTGCCTCATTACTTGCAACAGCAACAGTTGCCAGCAACAGGTTGCATGCTGCTTTGGCATTTCACGAAAACATAGAAATATAGTTGTTAACGGCTATTGTTAAGCGGCGCAAAAGAAACATTGTATGCAATAATGGCCAGCAGCAGCAAGAATATTGATATGAACAACAACAGCAGCGAAAACGAGAAGTGGCAGAGTTAGAGGTTGAGTTTGAGGAACAACCAGAAGTTGTAGAAGAAGCAGCAGAGCATAAAAAATAATGACAAACATAAATATCGACTTTACGATTGCAACGTGACTTCATTTAAAATCGAACAAAATATGCTAAATAATGCCAAAGCCAACAGCAACAACCACAATAACAATCACTACACACACGTACAGCAGCGGGCGCACATTTAGAGTCACACGTGCGTGGTCAAGAACCTCAAAAAAGCCAAAATTTGCCAGCAGCTCGGAGCAGCCGACTGCCTAATACTCGCTCATGACACAGAAATATGTGAGGTGTATTTGAAATTCAATATCTGCTGAGTTGTAGCTGCTTAGCAGATTAACAATGAACTTATTGAACTAAGCTTTGAGACTGACAAAAATATGATATGACGCCACGACTCTTAGTAGAGTTCATATAGGGTGCATATAGGGTTTTAAGTCTATTTATAGAGCAAGTTAACAGGCTTTAGCTCAATTTAGACTTCAGTTGTAGAACTGTTTTTGCTTATCCACACCTCTAATGGGCATAGCTATGTGCATTTGATACTTTATATGCATTTAATCTAGATATATAAGCCACAGATATATATAATACATACACTAAGAATATGCTATATTCCAAGAGTCTATGCATGCAGCTATTCAAGCATAGCTTATGTTGCAAGAGTTAAAGTTAAGCCCGAGTAGTCACGCACCAAGAGAACTTCTATAAGATATATTATCTCTATTGCCTAAAGCCAATATACTCTTCCCAGCCTCATAAATAAATCAAAAAAAAAAAGCCAAAAAAAGCTAAAAAAAAAAACTTACTCAAAATGTGAAACAAGCAACAAATAAAAATAATGTCTATAAAAATTAATAAATTTTATGTACCATTAATGTTGTTGTTGTTGTTGTTGCTGCTTTTATTATACAGCTACCCCAACTGCCCGCTCTCCCTCTCTCCGCCCGCTATCAGTCGTCGTTGCTTTGCATTTTAAAGAGCTGCTCGTTTTGGCCAACATTTCTTTTCAATTTGGCCAAAGACGCGCGGCTCTATTAACAGCTATCAATATGCCAAAATGAGTAAAAAAGATGTCAAATTGCCAACTTGATATTCTCTTCTTCTCTCATTGTTATTGTGAATTGTTGTTGTTGCCTTTTTACTACACATTCGCTGTTACAATAGACTCCGACTGTGGCCGCGGACTCTATATTGAGCCATAAAATTGGCCATTTTCAAATTTGGTTTTTGGTTTTCGATTTTTGACAGCTGCGCATAAAGCTGGTCGTAAATGTCGGCCAGCTGACGATGCTCTATGGGGTCGCCACTATGCCAAGCAGCTCGGCCAACAAACAACCCATAAACAAACACGAAAATGACAAAAGCTTCAGAGCTACGGGAAATAATAAATTCAATGACTAAATGCCTCGCAGGAATGCTGAATAAATATTAGAAATGGACGCCCACACTCCAAGTGTCTAGATAAACAAAGCCACAACTATTTATAGGGCATATAAAAAACTCAAGTGCCGCTATAAATAATTTCATTTCTTATTCTATTTCTATACAAATCATAAACAAATTGCAAGTGCTTCAGGTTCTACTCAGGCAATTAGGAGTGTGTGAAAAGCACAAGAGTTGATTGATAGCGTCACTGGGTCGCAGTTTATAGATATGGGCATTCACTTATAGTTATTATATTTGATTGGTTTTACAGCAGATATTGGGGCAGTCTCTAAGCTGCCTTGGCAATGGCTTTGCATTTTTCAAATAAAAAATGTAATTTTATGCCCTGAAAAACCACTGAAAAGGCACATATGAAAGCTTGGTTGACTCTATATATTATATATATTTTTGATACAGAGACTTCTGCTACGGAAATTGTCATTATTTAATTTGATTAGAAATATATACCATATTTCTATGGCAGCTATATGATGAGTCTGATTAAGCATAAATAAGTTTAATAACTGCAATAAAAAGGCGTCTCAATAGCCCTCAGGAAAGACCCACTCTACACAGCTAGACAGACAGTCTATGAGGCCATATTAGCTCCTTTGTTGTATTTAAACACTTTGTATAGAAGCCAACTCCAGCAGTAAACAAAACAAATTCCTTTATAAAAATTAACACAAAATAGCAATTAAATAATAAGTCATAAATATTATACAGTCACCTCGGCAAATGGGCCAAAACAATATCAATAAAGCATTAGCTTGGCTAAGAGAATTTGAGAATACGGTACAAGCTGAGCGCGCGCTTCCTCCAATTGCTCAATTTATGCAAATGGCTTTTTTACCTTTTCGTTTCGAGTGCGTAATGCCCATTTATCGCCGATTGCCGATTGCTGGCAACGGCATTTTAATATCGAGAAAATAACTTGGCGTACGCGCGTATAAGAAATTATAAAAAAAAAATTATAAAATATATATAAAAAATAAGAAAAAAATAAAAAATTACCTGCACATAATTTCACTAGGCATACGGAATAAGTTGGCCAAAGCGAAAGCCCAAAAGAACAGGTTCGTCTTTCTGCTGCTTCTTCTTATTCTTGTTGTCAATATGTCAGACTGCGACTGTGGCAGACAGCTTGCTGCTGCCGCTGCTGCCGCCGCTGCTGCTGCTGCCTGGCCTGTAGTACCGTTGTGCAGTTGCTAACGCTGCCTCCGCCAAAGTCCACCGAGCCAACGAGCCACCGGGCCGAGGCCACTTAAAGATTCCGCGACGCTTCGGGGCGATGCGTTACGCATTTTGATGAGGTCATTTGCGTGTGAAGCGCACTAAATGCGGCCCACGCTTCTGGCCTAGGCAAGCTGGAAAAATCGAATTCAATTCGTGGAAATGCCCGCTAGGAAAAGCTGCCAGTCTTCATAGCCTGCCCCTGTCTCTCCCCTCCCCCTCCCCCGCTCTGCCACCTACCAAAAATATTACTCATATTCGCAAAGCGAAATCTATTAAAATTATCACACGCCACGTTGACCTCAGAGTCGACCAAACATTTTTCAAGTACCGTTCCAAATACTCTCGTTTATGTGTCGGCGTACATGCAAACATAAATAAAAAACAAAAAAAACAAAAAATAAAGCCGAAAAAAATGCAAACAACAACGAAATCAACCGCAGCCAATAAAATGAAAAATGCTTGGCAAAAATATTGCGGCAAAATAATTTGCCACGCTCGTAAATTTTCAGCTCATAAAAAGAAACGAACTACGTTGGTGGGTTGTTGTGCGAGTGTGTGAGTCAGTGTTGGGCATTTCTCGAATTGAGTCAGATTTCAGTTTCAGCTTGGCTTTTTAGCTAGCTCCAATCAAGAGTCAACTCTCAACTCTCTGTGATATATTGCCAGCCCCTGCGTCATTTGCATGTGAAAAGCGGGGAAAAAAGTTTCTCTAATTTGCCAAATGATTATTATGTGTGCCTAAACAACGTTAAGTGTTGCCATAAATTAGCTGCCCAAACCCTGTTGTCTTGGCCAGTAAAAAGCTGTCCATAAATATCTGACAGCCCCAAAGGTGACAAAACTATTGAAGACTAAAAATAAACAAATTCAAATAGAAACGAACGGAAAGAACGCACAACGAGACTACGAACCGATGTAGGCAAAAGTCTCATAAGGTTAACACATCATGTAGACACTTTATATATACATCTAATCTGGGCCTCTTATAGAACTTTTCTTAATTAATCTAATTGCCATTTGACGGCAGCAGCCTTGCCTAGGCACTAATCGACATATAATCAGTTGTCAAGCGCTCGCATTGCCAACTTCCCACTCCACTGTTCACATATGTCTATATATATAGAGCGAGAGAGAAAGATATAGCTGAAATAGCATAAATTAAGCTTGTGCATTCGAAAGACTTAGGCAACGAACTTGCATTCCGGCAGGCGTTTGCACATTTAAGTGCACAACAATAAAAGCAGGCTAACAAACGGGACATTGTTGGCACTGCTAGATACCTTGACTAAAGTCACTTGACTTCGAAGACTTCGCAGCTGAAGATCAAATAGATATAGGTGTATATCTAGCACAGATATATCTCGGCTATCTACAGCTCTCTTACCATATCTATAACTTATAGGCCAGCAGATGTTTCCTACTGCACAGTAACATAATACCCTTTTAAGCATTTCGAGCAGCCCAAAGAAATCTAGAAACACAAATTCGAATGCAAAACAAACGAAATGAAATAAAATTGGAAGACGAAAACTAAATTGAAAACGGGCCACACAAAAAGCGATGCGCGCCATAAAAATAAAGAAAAGACAACAGCCGAAATAAAGATAAGCGAAAAGTGGCAGCCCAAAGATGTTGGCCCAAAGTGTTTGGCCAGCGATAAAAATTTAATCAAAATTTATGAAGACTCCGCCACGCCACCACTCCACCACAGCTGGCTGTATAACGAAATATTTATACTAAAACTAACTCTTCTTCTTTCTCGAATCTGTTTGCAGTCCCCGGAACTGGATTATCGGCACGAGCTGATGGGACGCCTGCACAAGATTGAGCCGGCTGATGTGGAACTAGAAGTGCTCGCTGCTGCTGCTGCCTCCAACAATAACAACAACACGAACAACAACAACAACAACAACAACAGCAGCAATAGTAATAGCAACGGCAGCAGCAGCCAAACAGCGAACAGCAACAGCTCAGCAGCAGCACAGCATCATCACCACCATCAGCTTCACCATCATCACCTGCACTCGCACCACCATACGCATACGCATGCGCATGCGCACCACCACCACCAACATCATCATCAACAGCATCATCTGCACCACAGTCTGCAGAGTGGGGAGAGTGGTGCAGCCGCCTTAGATGCCTGGCACTTGGCTGCCTCCAGCTATGCCAGCGACCAGAGCCATCAGCAGCAACAGCAACAACAACCCGCCGGCTCGCCCAACTCCAACTCAAATTCCGCCTATGGATGTGCCCCGCTCTACGACGAAGCGCCCTACGATGTGGCACTGGGCTACGGAGCGGGCGCCGGAGCGGGCAACACAACAGCAACATCAGGCAGCGAGAAGGAGTATCTATATGGTAAGTAGAGAGAGGAAGAGGGGGGGAAGATGCTGGGGCACACAATTATTACACGCATGGAGAAATCTCGCAAGTCAATAGCAAAACGAGACGCGACAACGTGTTCGTAGTTTCGTAGTGTTTTGATTCATAGTTGCGTTTCCGAAACGCAAATTGTGAAACTTGAGCCTAAACCAAGGCAGACGCTCCAAGCCACAACGAACTGAGAATGCGCTACAGTAGGAATGGCGACATTGTTGATAGGCGAGTGAGTTGTATGATAATACAAGTGAGAGTTGTGGCCAGGCCAAAGTCTTGGCTAAATATAGCCAAACAAATCGAACGAACGGTTGTTTATAAATTTCATGCATATGCGAGATTTCTTTGTTTGCATTAATAATTCCCTGTTTGAACGAGCATTTGCATAAGGCATTAGCAGTTTGATTATAAAGCGAATTCCTTTACCCCACCACACAAACACACACACACTTATACACCTATACACCTATATAGAAACCAAAAACAAAGAGGCTCTCTTCGGCGATCCACTGGATGATCCGTATCAGCGACCCGCGCTCTGGGACGATATTACCACCTCAATACAGAATATCGATCCGGAGAATGCGCTCATGCTGAGCGCCAGTACAGTGGCCAATGGCAGTGAGAATGCGGCTGCGAATCAGGCGACACAGCAGCAGCAGCAACAGTTGCTGCCACAGGTCAAAATGGAAGCAATAGATGAAACACTGCTCGAAACTTTCTCGACACCAATGCTCAGTCCCATGGAGATTAAAACTGAAAAGCAGCAGCGACAACAGCAGCAGCAGCAGCAGCAACAACAACAGCAGCAGCAGCAATACCATCAGCAACAACACCAGCAGCAACAACACCAGCAGCAGCAGCAACAACATCAGCAACACTATCAGCAACATTATCAGCAACAGCAGCAACACTTGTACCAGCATCATCCCAGCCTCTCGCTGTCCGGGCTGCCACCCGCTGCTGAAGTTGTTGAGCTGCAGCTGCAGCAACAGCAGCAACAGCAGCAACAGCAGCAACAACAGCAGCAGCATCAGCAGCATCTTCACAGTGGCAGCAACAGTCCCAAGCAGTCAGCCGGCGACAACAACAACTCTGCCTCCTATCAGCAACAATACGCATCTCAGCTGAACAGCGCATCAGGCGCTGCATATCTAAACAGTAGCAGCAGCAACAACAGTGCTTCTGGTGGCACCACCAGCAGCGTTGCCACCAGCAGCTCTGGCGGCAACAGCAGCAACAACAACAACAACAGCAGCTACGGCTATAGCTGGCATAGCAGTCAGGTGAGAATTGCAGCAATTGTTGCTCTCACACACAGCTTTCTATTTTGATTTCCTTTTGTCTTTAGACCTTTCACACCAAATACCAAATACACCCGTCATCAGCTGTTGCCACAGCGTCACCTACCACTGCCACGCCCACAGCTCAACATGTGCTGCAGCAGCATCAACAGCAGCAGCAGCAGCAGCAACAGTTGCAGCTCTGTCCGCCAGCCGCGCCCAGCACGCCCTCCGCCACGTCCGCTTCCTCCTCGGGCAGTGCCTCCTCCACGGGCTCCGGCTCGACGCGTCACATGTTCGTGCCACCACTAACACCGCCCAGCTCAGATCCCGGCAGTCCAGGCGCCTCCATGGTAGCCGCTGCCGCTGCTGTTGCTCAGGCACAGAGACGCAGCACGCCGCCGCCGCCCTATCAGCAGGGCCATGGCTTGGCTGGCCTTTGCCCCAGCCTGGTGAATCCGCCGCCCACGTTGCAGCTGCTTGGCGCTGCCACGCCCACCACGCTCACAACACTAACGCCCGCTAATGCCGCCATCGTCCAGCAGCCAGCGCCACCGCCGCCGCCGCCACCACCATCAAGCAGCGGTCGTCGCGGCCGGCATGCGCATCATCAGCCCGGAACGCCGGCGCACATAGCTAGCCTGATGAGCGTGCGAACGGTGCGCTACAATCGACGCAACAATCCGGAGCTGGAGAAGCGTCGCATCCATCACTGTGATTTTGTGGGTGAGTGCAATACGCAGATGCCAATTCCCATTCCAATTCCAGTTCCAATTCCAATTGCCATTCAGATTCAACAGCCTCTGCTTGAGATGCGCTGCATGCGCGACTCGTTTATCATTTAGCGCGCTTTGCGACACTTTTTGTAGCAAAGTGCGACCTCTGCCTCTGCTTCCGCCTCAGCCGCAGCCCTCGCCCAGTCTTCAGTTACACATTTAGCTATTTGGACGGCACTCATTGCGCATGCGCCAGGCGTAGAGCCAATCGCCATTTATTTATTTATTCTCCATTTATCTATACATTTATTTATTATCTTTCCGTCTTAGCTGTCGCCCGCTGTGCCTATTGACAGTTGTTGTGGCGCTTTTTCTAATGCCTCTTTTGTAATTCCAATTAGCCAGCGTCGTATTTATGTAAGAGTCTCTCTTTCATCTCATTGCATTGCATTTCAATGTCAGCTTGAGGACCTTGTGCCGAACAGTTAGCTGGCTGGCAGTGGAGTCTAATTGAAGAAGTAGCTAGAGGGCAATTGATGGAGATGGAGATGGAGATGGTATAAATGCACTAAGGAAGGATCAGCTAGGGATTGGGTGTAGCAACAGATGAAGTACTGTATCTAGTAAAGAGATGTTAGCTAGTTGATGAAGCAGAAGATAAAGTGAGGAACAGTTCAGCTTGAGCTTGGGATAGGATATAGTAGAAGAAGATACAATACGATCGCTTATAGAGTTGTTAGCGAGCTGAAGAAGCTGCAGCTCAAGTGAGGATCGCAGCGTATGAATATGTTCTTAATTGATAATCAGCTCACGAATTACTAAAAAAAGTGAGCTTGAAGACGATATGAGGCTCAACAGAGGATTACACTGAGAAGATAGCAGAAGATCTCATAAGAACATCGAAGAATTTAGTATATAGTCAATTAAAAACAAAGTTTGGAACTATCAGAAAGGGGAGCATTAGTGATCACATAAGAGTGAGAGTTACGAATTATAAGCTCGTGTTAGCTTTAATTCAAATTGAGTACAGCCATAGCAATGATAGATCACAAAGATATTTGAAGATCAGCTGCGATCATTTGCCATTCAACTTCAGCAGAACAAAGAAGAAAGATTTAAAGACCAATCAATATTTGAAGATCAATTAAAGATCTGGCAAAGATATACGATCAATCGAAGATCAGCCCAAAAAAAGTCTTAACGCTCAATCAAAAACATTTTACAATTTCGAGACGATCAGTCCATTAGCTTTTAACGGGTTCGTTCGCTGCGAGGGTAGCGAAAAACACTTAACCCCAAGTTAAATGCGACGTTGTCTAGCCAAAATGATGGTTCGTCAGTCTGTCTCTCAGTCCGTCTGTCCGTCTGCCCGTCTGCTGTTGGCGTCGCTAGCTACGTGCGTTGCCACTAATAAATAATTGACAATTGTCTGACACGTTTGCCGTGGCCATTTTTAGACAAAAAGCGCGTACCGAGCTCAAATATTTGTGTGGCTTAAAGCTCAGGCTAGGCTACAAAAATGCTGTCCAAATGAAGTTATTATGCCATAAACGCACGCATCAAGAGACTCTCAGAGTCGAGTCTCCACACGTCCGCAACTCTGTAACTCTGCAACTCTGCGAACTCTGGGAGATTGCAACTGGCAAAGTGAGTTATGTCTGCAGTAGTTCGCTCTGGCTGGGGCAACAATTCTCGTAACGTTTGCAGTCGCAGCCAATCACGCGTCTAACTGTCATCGTTGTTGTTGCGCTTGTTGCTTGGCGTCGACGCAACATTCTTGACTCGCTTTTTAGCTATCAATTCGCTCTGGCCATGTTTGTCGTACGGTGGCTTACTCGTGCTTGCCGCCGTATTTTTAGCCAGGCTATTTGGGCATTGTCTTTTCAATATGCGCGTCACGTTGTACTCAGCTTTCAATTAGAGCGAACGTGCTGGGATCTCTAAGCATCCTTTTAAGTGCCACATAAATGTCTCATGCTGTGCACAAGTGAATCTTGTGCAACTTTCACCAGCAACAGCAACAGCAGCAGCAGCAACATCCAACTACAGCTGCACGGGCTTAATTAAAGGCTCGATTGTAGCGACGCCCACTGACCCACTGACTGCAGAGCTGCAGCTACAGCAACCACAGTTGCAGTTGCAACTCACAGCCTCCGCTGCACTTTGCAATTGCCTCTTTTCTCATAGTCATCTTATCAAGATTTTTCGTCTCTCTGTGTGCTGGCTGCTCTCAGATAAATGGCCCATTCAATTGGCCAACAAGTTGGCCGACTCGCCAACACATATGAAGTGCTTAAAATTGTTAACATCTATTGAGCTAGCTGTTAATTTAATGGCCAAGATCATAGCAGATGCCTTGTTGAAGCTGCTTTGATTTAAACAGCTCTTCGACTTATGGCTCTACCTAACAAGCCATTCATAAAATATATCAAATAATAATGTATTTTTAAATTAATATTTACTTAACTGTGAGACATTTAGCAGAGCGTTGCTTGTGCACAAGGTCAATCATTTATGTTATAAAATAGGAGTTTTAGTTGGGAAGTTGTTAAGTGTGTGTTTTGGAGTAACATGAGAAAGGAAAGCTTTTTAGATATTTTTTTTTTTTTTTTTTTTTTCGTTTTTATTTCTTTATTTTGTTGCAGCTTATTGTCTTAGACTCTATAGCGCATTTAGCTCTAAACCTTAACTAATGGGAGGGCAGATATGCCAATTATTCTGCACTTGTAGCTACTATCTTAATTAGTTCTAATATTGTCTAGAGGATGCAATCTCTTCAGTCTTCGCCTATTGTTGTTTATAGCCAGGTTGCTTGCGAGATGGTTAGGATGCGCTGCAAGTCTGTCCGCGTATCTTGAACTGTGTCGCCCAATGAGTTCAGCAACTGTGGGAATTGCTAAATCCCTATGTAAGACTGAGTTTCTTACAAACCAGCTGGCTCCAGTCCATCTGCGTAGTGCTTTATTCTGCAGGGTCTGAATTTTGTTCCTTGTAGTCTTCGCCGAGGAGCCCCATAGAGAGATACCATATACGAAGGTTGGGACAACTATTGCCTTGTAGATGGCGGCCTTGCTGCTGTAAGACAACTTGCTTGAAGCTCTCAGCATCCAGTCGAGGGTTTTTAGCTTGCTTTTGCATTTTGAGGTTACTTGACTTATGTGCGCTTTAAAAGTCAGCCTTCTGTCAAGAGTGATACCAAGTTTTTAGATATTTTATCTGATATTATATATTATAATATATAATATAAAATGATGTGATATTGTGTAATAGCAGAGTCTGTTTAGGTAAGTTCCCCACTTCTGTTGTGTGAGGCTGAGCATTGTGCAGAGGTGTTATCCAAGTGAGTTTGAGTCTTGGCCTCTCAGTTCTTGCATCCTAAATTTATCACTTTTTGAGAGTGAGATATAGTTCGCAGATGCCAAGCAGAAGTGAGATGTCAATAGACAAAAAGAGGCGACTAGAAACACAAGTTCAAGATAAAAGCCTTTAAAATCCATGTGAATCTATAGCAGCTGAATCTACTTTTGATTGCATTTCACACTGTCTATACAGTTAGCTAATCATCTTTCCTATCAAGCTTTGCTTGAGCCACTCCCAACTTTCAGCACATTTTATTCTGGCTGCCCACTCTTTATAGCTTAAAGTAATGAGAGATAGCAAATATCAGCTTATTGTCCACTCCTTATACACAAATCTCGCTTATATCATGGATATAATATATCTCCTTAGCCCACTCCTTATAGCTTATAGCAATATATATGTCCACACATATCTCTCATATATCATAGATATCAGTTATCTTACTTTCATCTCCCACTTCTTAAAGATTATAATAATATAAATTTCCTCGTTGTTTTCCTCTGCTTATGCAACAAACTTTCTTTTTTTTTGCAGGCTGTTCCAAGGTCTATACGAAGAGCTCGCATTTGAAGGCGCATCAAAGGATACACACGGGTAAGTGGTTATGGATCCACCCACCGCCCAGTTGGCAATTGCCAAGGCAGCACCTGGCATTAGTTAGTTATGAGGCGCCGCCAGGCTTGTCCGCTGTCATACACATTGGCTGCTCCGCATCCGTTGTAGGCGTAGGTCTGTGGCTTATTACTAAAGCACCAGCAGCCAGCAGACGATGAGCCAATGCTGGGGGGTTGAGCGGCGTAGCAGCTGTGCCGCGCTTTATTTTGGCATCGTTGAGCAACCGAGCGGCGGAAAAAAGGCTTTTGATTAATTCGCGCGCTCATATTTGTAGTTGCCAGCACATAATTTGCCAAGAGCTCGGAGCGGCTCGCTCTGAGTTTTTTGTTTTTCAATTTCGGTGCAGCAACCGCAGAAATCGTGATTTCTACGGTTGGTTTTTTTGTGGTCAGTTGCAACATCAACAACATCAACAATCGCCAATCGCCAACGCCATCAGCTGGGCGCACGTTTGGCCTGCATTTCCTTCTTGCTCAGATTACACTTGACGTTATTTTTGTGTATTTTTTTTTTTGTCCAACTGTAGAGTATCTGTTTGGTGGGTCGTTGCCGGCTGATCACCTGCCTCAGCGTTTTATGGGCCACACGTTTTATGCCCCTCATTCGCGACTTTCAACTCTCGACCCAGCCCCAAACCAAAAGCGTCTCAAAATCCCGACCGCAGATCTCCTTCGCTGTTTTAATTTTTATTAATCGCACATGACCAGCTGATTTATGCGCTGCACTAAAAAACATTTTTATTATTATGATTTTTTGTTGCGCGTTGCGCTGATTTTCACTTAACTGATAAACTTAACGCCCCGCTAAAGAAACACAACACAACGCAGCACAGCACATTTGATAAGCCCGACGACAAGTACTCAGAGTCAAGGTGAAGCTGTAAATTCTCAACAACTGAAGTTTATATAAGGCTAAAGAGTTTCAAAGTCATTTCGAGATATATGAAAATTGCTTTTTTGTTCATTATATATACTTTATTTTTATCGTAAAAGTAAGTTTATGTATATATATATATTGATATATTAAGCGACTCAGATAGAGCAAGTCTAAAAGACTTTTAGTTAACCTAAATCCATTTGAAATTCTTACCTTCCCGATTAATTAATCATATGCCAACTATAAAACATGTAGCTAACTCCCATTCACATACTTTCATCCACTCTCTCTGCCGCTCTATCATCGCCTTTGCCTCACCCTTCAGCTGGATTTGCTTATGTAAGCCACGTCAATGGCAGCTATAGATCTGGTTAACAGATTTAATTGCCTGACGCCCGCCTGTGGGCCAGCACGAATGAATGCCATACGAATCAATGGCCTAATGGCCACGTCTTTGGCCATTTGGCTCAAATCTCTTGGCCAGCAATTTGGCAGCACTTTTCGAGTGGCAGCCACCATTTGTGGCTACCGTCTGATGGCTGTCCGTTTGTTTGGCTTTTGACTTAGTTAACGTCGTCACACGCCCAGCCACAAACACACTAACACACACACACACACAGCCAGCCTTGCACAGTCGCATTTTTCATGCAATTTTGAAGCTGCGGCATCTCGTGGCGCCAGACCCCAAGTTGAGTGTTGTCTTAGCTGATTAGCTGGGCTGCAGCTCAAGTGCCAAGGCTGGACACTTGGCTTTTTGCATGCGACTTCTTGGGCAAGTTCGTTGCCTAAGTCTTTTGTTGTTCGCTCGTAAATTTGTCGTTTTTATTTGGGCTTTTTGTCTTTATCGGCGACGCGGCGATTAGAAAATCAGCTGGTAACTAATCTTTATGCAACGAGCGAACGCATAAATTTTACATATCTACCTGGAACTGGGCGACTGTAAGACACTGGAAGACTGGACGCTGTGTTTGCCCACCGGCTGGGCTTATTTTGTACTGATTTGTTTGCTAATATGTTCGCGTTGCCATAAATTAGTTTGATTTTTATGCCCCGGCGAGGGAAGCAGTTGCCCAGCCCGCCGGCCTGCGGCTAGACTTGTCTTCTAGCTAGTTTCAGCGAGCCGCTGCCTTAATTTATATTCGAATCGGCTCGACTCTGTATGGATATATATATATATATATATTTATGTGTATCTATAGTTAGTTGCATGTTGCGCTTATCGCGCTATACGTTAAAATTATGAAGTAATTTCGTCGGCTTTATCGCATTGCGTTCATCGCACATTACAAAACTAAATTTACATAACTTTGTTTGTTGTTTGTTCGGCCTGGGCCTGGGTCCAGGCCCCTGGCTCCGGCTCGATGCTGATCTTTGTTTTAGTTACGAGCGATTTCAATTTTTTTGCCATTGCCAAATGATATTCCCACGAGTGCGCGATCTGTATTTGTTGTTATTGTTGTTATTGTTGTTGTTGCTGTTTACGAGATTCTGTTTGGGCAGTTGCCGTGCCACATGACTCACCCAGCAGCCATTTATCAATGTTTTTTTACGTACGTAAAACCAAGCAAAGCTTCTTACATGGACAGAGAGATAGAGACAGAAGGAGAGAGAGAGAGTGGGGAGAGAGGGGATGGCAAGTGTCGATAGGTAAATTTTTTGATTGTGTTCAGTCATCTCGAGGCACTTAAATTCATTAAAAGAGATCCAAATAAACCAATAAGTCACGCCACGAGTCAGTCGCTCATATTGAGTTTCTCTATTCCCAAATCCCACAAAAGTGTCAGCTGAGTGCCACTTCTCGAGGCTGAAGAGGCATTTTCAGCTGAAAACGCTGTAAAAAACAACAGCAACAACGACAGCAGCCCCAGCAATAATTATTGTGCCTATCGAAAAGGGTTTCAGCAGCTTAGCTGAGCTTAGAAGTGCGAGTTATGCGAGCAAAGTGTGAAGCTGTAGCTGTTGCCGGAGAATCAGAGAATTGTTGACTCGAATTGCAAAATTTAACTACTTGCAAAGCGAATTTTGATTATTGTGAGCAATGCATATCGAATTGGCAGGCCACATTCGCTACACTTGGTCTTGGTTAAGCTTGGACAGTTCGGGACAAAGTCTGAATAATGCCATAAAATGTCAAGTTCACGAAATTTAAAGCAGCGCAATAATTATTTCATTCAATTTCAATTCGAACACGAATGTTTATGTTTATGTTGATGTTGATGTTGAGTTGTAATGCTCAAAGCACAGCCGGCACAACTCGACGCGACTCGACTCGACCCGCTGCCAGCTCGAAGCGAATTAGTCATAGAGCAGCGGAGCCAACAAAACATTTGGGCACCGGCCGGTCGCTCGCATTTTCGTTTTCTAACTTGCAAAATGTCGTCGTGTTGTCTCTTGTTATTGTTGCTGTTGTTGGGCCATCGTCAGCAGCAGCAAGTCGTGTGCCAGAGTTAAAAATCCAAATCATAAAATACGCGACTCTGAGTGACTCGAACTGCGAATTGACTTACCAGCTGCTGTTTGACTGTTGTTGTTGTTACTGTTGTTGTTGTTGTAGTGTTGTAGTTGTTCTCAAACTAACATGAAAACCCAATGAAAATGTTAATTTGCGCATACAAGCAGCAGGCGAGACAAGAAGCTCGCTGCTGACATACTTCTCCAAGTCACTTGTCATTTCATTTGTCAATTCAAAATCGTTGCTAACTACCTCTTCTTCTTCTTCTTCTTCTTCTTTGCAGGTGAAAAGCCATATACTTGTCAGTGGCCCGAGTGCGAATGGCGCTTCGCACGCTCCGACGAGTTGACAAGACACTATCGCAAACACACCGGCGCCAAGCCCTTCAAGTGCATCGTCTGCGAGCGCAGCTTCGCGCGAAGCGATCACCTGGCCCTGCACATGAAGCGACACCTGCCGAAGAACAAGTGAGGGAGAGAGCGCGCCGTCTATTCCTCCCTCTCTCTCTCTCGCCCTGTCTACAAATTCAACTATATCACAATCCAAAGGACTTTAGTTAAGCTACAAAGTAATAATGCATAAAGAGAAATTCGTTTAGTAAATGGTGTTACTATTAAATAATTCGAAACCTGAATATATAATAAAAGCTTTTCGCACTCAAGGGAGAGCAAGAGACAGCTCTCGCTCGCCCGCCTCGAGTGCTTAGCGCGCTTTGCATAACTCAAGTTTAATGCTAAGTAAATGAAATTTCCACCTGCTTAACTACATATTAATGCAAATCTTAAATCTAAGCACGATCCTAACTAATGTTAACTCGTATAGCCTACACAAACGCATTCAATACTTTCCCCTCCCTCCCTTCTCCACTCCCGGCAACTGCAGCGGAGTCCCGTGTATCAAAGTGCATATAGTATATATTTATTCATATATAGATCCTATACATATACATAGGTATATTTAACATTAAATCAATGCTAAGTTGTAGGAGAACATTATCGCCACGTGTCATTGTCGCCTAGTTTCTGTATAGTTTACCCATTAGCCATAAACATTATGTTTAGTGTACTCGTAGTCTCTATAAACTCGACGCGCACGTCTCCGTGTGCTCCATATGTATATGTATTTGTAGCTAGCGTATTATGTGTCTCTATATCGTTTCTAAACACCAAAAAGTGCTGGCACAACAACATCAAATAATAAAATGTTTTTGAAAAACCACACAATGTCGCATTATTCTTCCGATTCGGCGAGCTTCATGGCGAAACGCTTGGTCCAGTCGCGCACGATGCTGTCGTGCTCGCCGCGATGATTGACATACAGCTTGGCGATTGCCGGATTCATGGGATCCCGCAGATTGGGCGACACCATCAGAGTGAGCACCGAGACCAAGAGCTTGCCCAGCGTCATGATCGGCGACCAATTCTCCACGCAGATGTGATCCGCGTGCACGTTGCAATGGTAAATCTTGGTGACGAACTTCAAGTTCGGCGCACTGAACGGATAATCGCGCGGAAAGGTGATGTGCATGTGGAAGAGGCCGCCCTCATACGGCGTGCCCAGCGGCCCCTGCAGCGAGGCAACCCACTCGAATAGATCGTTGTTCAAGAAGTTTACCACGCAGCCCTCTATGGGATTGCGCTTGAACTCGGCCATCTCCTGGCTCAGGCGACGTTGCGTCATTCCGTTGCGCAGCAAATGTCCATAGATGCGCTGACGTCGAGCCTGCTGGGAGGCGTCTGCCGTGTGCCGAGACCCTTCGGCAGCTGGCTGTGGTTGTGGTTGTGGCTCATGCTCAACCAGTTGTGCCACATTTGCACCTTGCCGGGGCTGGCGCTCGTCACGTGAAATGGAAAACATCTAAGCATGTATAAAAAAAGTTATTAAAACTTAAATCAAATAATTGACTTTGAACTACTAACTTTAGCAAAGATTCTTAAGGCGGCCGACTTCTGTTAGGCTTGTGGCTTAAATGAATTTTGCTGCTCAGTTTTGTTTGAGCAAACATCACATGAATTTCAAGGCTTGCCTTGATTTGAAAACATTTTATTATATACTATTTGTCGCGCTAACTATGTTCATTCTTCCTTTGTGCGCTTGCTATAAAAATATTGTTAAATTGGGAATATTTATGATTGTCTATATTGGTGTAAGAATGCTGTAAATTACTTTCGTATCTAAGCTCAGTTACTTGCACAACTTTTATAAAATATTCTGCGAAAATAGTTTTGATTCTCAAAATAGTGCCAGCAACAAACCCTTAATAGAAAATATTCAACTATATTAAAGGAACAGAGCTTTGGCTAGATCTAAGTAGTTATGTTATGTCTTAGCTATACTACATCAGTGAAAATTCTTTTGCTAGCAATAGCTAGATAGATAATTAGTTAGTTTACCCCAAGCTTAGCTGTCTTACCTAAGCTTAGAGTATAAAATAAGTATATAACTAAACCAACTCTAGATGCCCTTCAAAGTCGTCGCCAGGCTGAATTGAAATCATTTTGTAGTCCATCAGCAATTCAATGTGCAATGGAATTTTTGTATTCGATATTTACTGCAATCGCTTGCATTTTATACGATTATTAACATTTGCCCAGTACGTGCCTCGCAACGACAATTCAACTCAATTCAATTTCAAAAATTTCTCTAACTATTGTTGCTTTGGGTAAACTCCACACGTCAGCGAACAGTTAGGTTATTAAAGAACCGATATAAAGTATATAGATATATGATCGAAAAGTTTATGTGCCACACATAACTAAGAGACAATAATTTCATTTAGATGAGAATGCAAAGCCGATAAGTGACCCCGTGTCTATGGGGGAGAGACTCAATTGCTTTTTGTTGTTTTGCCCAATGTGATTATTATCAAAATATTTTGTACACGAAACAAACATGTCAAGCAAATGCGAGACATTTGTTGTTGTTGTTGTCTGCTTGAAAATTGTTTAAAAATACAAATAATAATTTCAATTGTTGACTGCATTTCATTTTCTACTCTTTTTTTCTTCATATTTTGTAGCGTCATGTTGTTTTGATTGGGGCGATAAAATTGTTGTCGTTGTGTGCCCATTTGAAATTATAAATCGTTTGATTTTTATGAGGCTCATTTATTTATGAGCTTGGCATAGACAGAGAGAAAGAGAGCGAGAGAGAGTCTAGTGGTAAACCAGTTCATTTGTCAGAAGGGGAGACACGTGTTAGTTGCGTTGACTAAACCCAAAGAGAGTGAAGCCCACTCAACGCTCGCCACATGCCTCGACCTGGCATCCATCATTGCCCAGCTTAAGCTGCCTATGTGGGCGTCAAGTACAGAGAGCATCTCCATCTCTGTTCCACTGCAACTTGCAGCCATCTCGCTGGCCCTGTCGGGCATCTTCAATTGTCTGTGCGCTCTGCGCTGATTAATCATGTTACCACTGACAGCTCAACTTTGCGGGCAAGCTGCTTATTAAATTGGCTTTAGATTGCTAGATAAACGTAATAAAAACGCACAGCTACAGCCACAGCCACGGCCACAGTCGCAGTTGCAGTCGCAGTCGCAGCCAAAGATACAGATACATGAGCAAGACACATGTGGAGTACGTGTAGGTATGAGGACCCCACAAATTGATAAATGCAAAGGTTCTCCTCTCTCCCTCACCCACCTGAATGTCGAGTGGGAACAAAGGAGAATTTCGTATGAAATCAATGCGCGATTCCAGTCAGATCGCGTGTGCCAGCGCTCCTCGACAGATCTCGCTTATTATTTCAATTAATTTGCTCATTAAAGCAAAACAAAACACAAAGCCAAATTGTGCATACAAATACGTACATTCAATTCAATCTCCACGTGGGTGTCGATGCCAAGCCAATCTGGTAAATATGTCAGTGGAACGCTTAACGCTGATCAAGGAAGACAATATGTGTGTGTGTGTGTACATTCAATCTACATATCCAGCTGGAAGCTAAGACAATGAAAAGTAATCTTGGATTTTTAATTATTTTATATATCATTGTTATTGAATTGAATCATTTGATATATGTGTCTATATAAATATATAGTTTGTTATTCAATAATAATTCAAATTAAGAGCTTAAAGGCTTAATAGAAATGGTAATCTTAGAGTATTAAAAGTCCATTATAAAGAGAGTAGGTTGTATCTTTATTGATTTAAGCCCAAGCTTTATGGCTGAAACAGAACATATTGTTATATAGTTCCGTTTATATCAAAAGCTGCATATTTTAATCTCTTTCTCTCTGTCATTCTGAATGATCTATCTTTTGCTGTCTCTGTCACTATATACATCTCTCTTTATATGTATGTATCTTTCGCTCTACACTGATCTCTCTCCCTCTCTTTATCTCCATCTCTCTATTTGTACTACTCTGTCTATAGGTCTTTCTCTTTTTTTCTTTTTGGGTGTCTCTCTCTTTTTCTAGCTCTCTTTTTCTATTTGTCTATCTCTCTCTCTCTCTATATCTTTCGTTTCCTCTCTCTCTCTCTCTTTCCTTCTCTATATTTTCCTCTCTCTCTCGTTTTCTCTTCATCTCTCCCTCTCTCTTACATTCTTTCTATCTTTTCGTCACTCCATCTATGCTCTCTTGCGGCTTATATCTCATTCTTATTCTCATTCATATCTCATACCCAACTTATATTGCAATATAATTCTAATAGCCTAAGGGTACTTTAGGCCTTCATATGGGGTGTCTGTTTAGTTGTATTGTTGTTCTTTTATAGACTTGATATACATAAATCATATTCGTTCCCCATGCTCGTATGACTTCATTAAAACTCGTTGTCCGTTGCGAATCCGTTTCGATCTAGACTTCAGCTATGGAATATGCGAGGCAAATCAACTGAAAGACAACTTTTATGGAAATGTAGAACATATGGTGACAATATATTTATATATTCCTACCTTTCCAAACTCTAGCTGTAGAATATGAGCGGCGAGTGAGCGTTAAGCAACGTGTGAACTCTGCAGTAAACATTGAGCATAGAGATGACTATACTCTAGTAGTAACTTACTATAATCCTATGGAATGCAGTTATAATTTATAGGGAAGTAAACCTAAGCTTTTGTTTAGATATTCTTTTGTCGTTTAAAATTTCACTGTTTGGCCAACTTCTTAAGCTTCCGCAACAACTTTTACTTTCAGGCAGGCAGGCGACTTAGCTATATGCTTGGCTGGCAGACTGCGTCCAGCTGTGGCTTAAAAAACACCCACAGCTAGCGCTGCATGGTTAACCCACACATACATATAGATGCCAGCAGCGGGTTCATCCATTTTAAGCCAGCCGAAACATACAAAAGCGCCCATTAGCAAATGGGGGGACGCACTCGTCGTGTCGTGTTGCGGCCGTGTCGTATCGTGTGTTGTTGTCTCGTGTGTGTGTGTCGCCTGTCAGGCTGACAGAGGGGCGCAGCCGAAAGCCAAAAACTGAAAACTGAAAACTGAAAACTGTAAACAGGAACTCCTCTCGCCAAATGCTAACTGGCCCAGACAACACGATGAACTAAGGCGGTGGAGGGCGGGTGAGCGCCAAGAGGCGGGTCGGTTGGACGCGTGTTGCAAGCAACTACTTTGCATACACGCTGCACATAAACAACGCTGACTAAAAACGGCGACAACTATAATTAAGCTTAATTGCTGTTTAATGTGAGCCACGGCGACTGAGCGACAGACACCGGCTCAAGCTGAGGCTGGAGTCGGATGCGGAATCGCAGCTTGGCAAGCAGGACCGAGATAGTTTTCAACATTTGTCAACTCGCCCACGCAATGGCAGTGACTGCTAACCATTTCACACACACACACACTCAGGTATATGTATTTAAGCTTAATTTAATTATATTTATAATATGAAAAATGTCGACAATAAACTGGAGTAGAAACCAGGTGTTTGTATAATTGAAAAAATAGTTACTTATCTGCTGAACTTATTGTTTTTGGTGTGTGTGTGTGAGTTGGGGTAAATTAATTAGCAATTAAAAATGCAGTGCGGACCAATGGATACGCGGCTCTAATCTGTTGTAGCAACAGTCGTAATTCATATTTATAAATAGGCAAACATTATTCAAGGTGTCCGCAGCGAGTCGAGAACCGTAAATTAAATCAAAATCAAAATGAAAACGATATGGTTAGAATTTTATAACGAAAAATAGGTAAAGAATTGAATAAGTAAGAAAAAAGTATGAGAAAAGTGAACTAAGACAAAGTCGAAGTTGAAATACACTTGAAAATAAATAAATTTTGGTTGTGAAAATATTTGTGAGCTAAGCTAAGTTATAGTAAATCTTGTTGACAAGCGAAATAAGTATTTTTTATATATTAATATGATCCGTAAATCAATCTCTATTACAGTCTAGAGTATTATAATTAGGCTAAGCTGTGTTAAAAATTCATTAGAAGCTCCTGTCTAACAAATGCCTAATCAAAATATGAATTTAGAATGCCATCAAGCTCTTCAGTTTTATAATAATTCATATTCTTGTTCATAGCTCCAGCATATGCATTTGTAAGCTGCCTCATCGACTCAGTTAAGCGACTCTGTGGCAAGGAGTTAGAGTATGTTAAAACCCATTAGATCCGTGGCCGCCCACAATTTGAACGTCGAGCCGTGTTCGGGTCTCGGACAGACAACAGCCGGCAATTGGAGGTTGGGGTTGTTGCTGGTAGACGGCGTGTGACTCAATCCCAGCTGCAGTTGATCGACCGATCGGCCGACCCAGTGGCGACTGCTGCTGCTGCTGCTGCTGCTGCATTTGGCAATGAACTTTTCGATATCGAAATATGCATGGGCTAAAAGGCAGGCAGCGATAGAGATAAATAAAGCGAGCTTGGCTGCTGCCAATTTGACTTTGAACTCGGTCAAGTCGAGACACATTTGAAGCTGTTTGCATATTTAATTGAACACCTACAACAGCGACAACAACAACAACAACAACAATAACAACAGCAACAACAGCCACAACGAGAGCGACAACAAATGGTTCGCAGCTGTGTTGGCATAATAATAAGCATTATAATCAGGCGCAAAGGCTCAATAGGCCAATTGGCTGCCGGCCAGGCAAAATGTACAGTTACTTTGTCAAAGCGTCAAGTCGTGCCTGACAAAATAATGACCATTTATGCATAAGCTTATGGCCTTACAGCCAAATCTCATTATAAAACCTCAAAGTCTGCAGCAGCAAAAGCGGCAACTGCGGTCAACACCAACTAAAACTTTATATTATTTTAATATTTAGATATGTACAAGTCATAACTCACTTGAAACAAGTTCTAATATTAAGTTCGTGGAGCAAAATTATTAAAATAATAATATGAAATTATAAATTATTGACACGATGGATGTTGAAAGGCTGCGATTGCTGGTTGAATTAGTTATATCAGCTATATATATATAAATGTAGAGTATGAATCTCAAGATCACAGCATCAGTTCTGACTCAATGACAACCCTAAGACACTTCAGTTAGCCCTGCTTAAGCAGTTGTATCGATAACAATACCAAGTCGATGACAAACATCGATTCTGACAATGCGAAACTTGTTGAGTGGCACTTGGAAAACATTCTAAAAACAATAAGTTTACCAAGCAAGCTATGCCTTTCATATTAGTAATGAAACGAAAGTCATTTCGTGGCGAGACTCTCGGCGAGCAGAATTGTTTCAACAGTTTACAAAGTAGGCAAAAATAAAAACAATAAATAAACTGCTGTGAAAAGTAAGAAATATCGTTTGGATATTTAATATATTTAAATTTAGATTTATGTGCAAAATGGTTCAATCGATGCTTTCAGCCGTGAGAGCAATGCCGCCCAGACGCAGCGAGCGTTTGCGTTTGCTACGCGAGGTCGCGTCCACGGCCGAGCCCGTTACAGAGCCCAGGGTGACGGCGCGTCGGCAACGCGCCCGCCGGCGCGCTGGACGTACGCGCGCCAGACTGCCAGCCCGACAGGCGAGGACGAATACGGCGACGGTGCTAGATCAGCGCGAAGATCCGCGCACCTGGCTGCAGCTGGAAGCGCACTCGAGCGCCCGGTCGATTGTCAACCAGAATGGAGAGGGTCAACCCGATGATGTGCTGACGCTGCGGCTGCTATCGCTCTTCATACGCATCGCGCTGCTGGAGTCGCCGTCGCTGGCCCAGCTGACGAGACGCAATCCCAATCAGGGCATACGGAAGCTATTTCGAATCATACGATTTCTGTTCTTTAGGCGTTAGCCTACTCAGCTTGTTAGGTCTAGTCAATAAATCGATCGTAATCGATCGCCGGCCGGGGCCAGGCGCCCCCACAACGAGCCATCGCGTTTTCGATCATTTCCTGTCCCCAGTTCTTCGATCTCCCCATATGCTCCTCATCTGTCTACGCATGATTAATTGGCTGGCACGCGTACCCGATGCCAATCGCCTGCCCAAGTGACAAAAATCAATGCACTGCAAATGTGTAGAGACGCACTACAAGTGGCACTCGCAGGCTGCTGCGACGTGTGAGTTACTCGGAATAACACGGCTCATAAATCTTCGGGCTCCGATCTCTCAGTTGCACAGCAGCCGCCCTTCTGTATGCCATTTGGCAACCTGTGCCCACGCAGGCGGCAGCGAGGCCTTATCAGCGGCCAACTATCAGCCAGTCGAGTCAATTCTTCTTCGGAATGTAATGTGTAATGAAACGGAAGTGGCCCGACTATCAATCTCAATTAAATTGATTGCCACCGAATGCTGCTGCAGCCATTCATTGCCTTAAACCATAATCAATGCCAGAACGCTTCATAAGAATGGATAATATGTCAACTTGCGTTTAGTTTGGAGGACAATTCTTATGAAGTAGGTGGGCTGCGTTGCTTGTTTGGGAATTTCTAATTTGAAGAGCAGTAGAGGGAGGAAGACAAAGAGAGAGAGGAGTGAAGAGAGACAAGGAAGAGGGGAGATAGAGAAGAGAAAAGAGACAGACAGAGAAAGGGGCAGGGCAAAGATAGAGAGCTCTAGGTGGGGAAGAACAGAGACACAGTAGGAGTAGAGAAAACAGAGAGAAGGACACACAGAGAGAGAGAGAGAAATGTATGAATGAGAATCACATAGAAGACCTATACAACTTTTGTGAATTGTGAAGATTAGCTTTATAAAAAATGTTGATTTAACTACTATATACATATGTCATACACTTGTTCATACACACACTGATGTATACATCCATACAGGCATACGTACATACTAACTCTGTTACATATTTGTATACATAAATGCACTCGTACATAGTCACGTTCACACTTACACAGCAATCACTTATGCATACCATCACACATACATCCTCACACAGCTGCACTTACGCTCTCACATAGCTGTTACATGCATACATAAGCAAATAGACAATTATGACAACATGTTGCTTGTTTACTTTTTGTATCCTCAATCACAGCGAATAACATACTCCTAATATATGTAATTCCCGCCCTGGCATACTCCATTTTCATCTATTATTTACAGTTTGCGGCGGACATGGCCTAAACATAAATTTTACCAGCAGCAGCAGCAGCAACAATTTTTTCTTTATTTTTGGAATAAAGCCAGTTGACAATCCAACAGTTAGTTGGCTAAATTGCGCACATCCGTTGGATTGGCAAAGGAGCCGCAATAATTTGCCGCAATATGGCTAAAATAAACGCAACGCGTCGTCTATGTGGCTGTTGGTGTTGCTATTGGTGTTGGTGTTGGTGTTGTCGCTGGCTGAGAAGTGGCAATAAACAAAGCCAAGAGCACGCGTTATTTTGTGAACACATTTCCATGCAAATGCTGGCGGCAAATCAGCGCGAAATGAAAGAAGCAACGACAACTGCAACAATTGCAACAGCAAAGGCAAAGGCAACAGCAACAGCAACAGCGACAGCAACAGCAATTGGCAATTGCGTGTTGCACAATCATTGGGAGCAGAACGAGCAGGCAAGTCAACTCTCGGCCTACACATGCAGAACCCGAGAACATGACATCAAATGGCAAACAAAGAGCAATTACATGCGACCGCAACTGCGACTGCAGCAATTGTCGCCTCGAAGAAGTCTTGAAGAAACCTTCAGCTGAATGGATCCGATCTGCGAACAGCGATCTGCACATGGGCGAGCATTAAAAGCCCACCAGCTGAAAGATGCGTTGGACGTTGGACATAGGCTGGGAAATCGGAATAGAGCTATAGCTATTGGCCTCTATCGGTCTCCGCTATCTCTATGACTGTTGCATGTCAGTTCGAAACTAAACTCAAAAACGAAACATTTATCACACTCGGTACTGCGGTGCTCCGGGGGCACCTAATGCCCGCTAATTAATGATAATGTCGGTAGCGTATGCTTGCTGCAGCGACTGCCAGTGCCACAGGTCATCAGTTAACGTTTTCATTAACCATATGTCACACGCATGTCCTGAAGGGCTGACAACCCTGAGGCAACCCTCGCGGAACCCTTGAAAATTAAATTATGCGCTCGGTCGCGTGTCCTCGTCCTCGCGCAGACAGCGAGCGCAGTCAGCAAATGATGAGTCAAAATACATAAAACTAATAACTAAGAGAACGAGAAGTATTTTGATAGAAAGCACTCGACTAGCGAATACCCTGAACTTGAGGTGTAGACGCGGTATTTAGTTAATAAATTGCATTTGGAATGTAGACAAATCGACATCTCCGTATCTTAAAGCCTTCGAGCTATGCTTAAGGAAGGCAGTCTCAGGAAAGACGTTTCTCTATTATGGAAATGTTTTGCAATTTATTTGAAAGTATCTCATAGTAGGCTATATACTCTATATGCTAAGTCTAGAACATTTCATTTATACAGATCTAATAATAACAAACTACATCGATTCTCTATTCTCCATACCCTCATTGCCCTAAAAAACATCATACCCTCCTCAAGTCCCTTCAATGTATTTAGGATATAAAAACGGAAAAATGAAATGAAAATGAAAATGAAAATAAAAATGCATAGCTCTTCTCTCGTACTGGCTCTTGCCCTGTCCATGACTCGTATCGCATTTGTGCCCATTTCTCGCTTTTTTCACATACATTTCCGATGTTGGTTACAGTTGGTTTCGGCCGTTGTGCAAACTGTTTGCAGTCGGCGCGTGTTTCGGGCCAAAAAGGTGTTAAAACTGTGCCACAAAATTGTTTTCATGTCCAACTGCCTGGGGTTGTTTTAATGACCGCCTGACTTTTGGACTCGCTATCTCATGATGAACCCGATATAATTACGCATTTTGTCGACAATGAAGTTTATGTTCCTTTGCCAGACGCGTGCCGGATATGTGGCTGAAAGGTGGGCGAATGCTTTTTACCTTTGCCTTTGTTTTTTTTATACGGCCGAGGCACGCAATACTTGAACTAGGGGTTAATATTTCTGGTTTCCTCGTTTATAAGCTGTGAAGAGCTACATAATTGTGGGGGCACGTATTTGACTTGTGTCGAGAAAGCGAAGTTGATTTCTGTAGGGCTAAAACGAGGCCTCAGATTTCTTTCACTTTCAATAATGTGGCTAAAAACAGCTGTTCAATATAGCCATGATCTCTGCTTAAGTTTACACAAGAATATAATAAAAATAGGTAGAGGAATCGAAGGCCAGTTCAAGGAGTTTGCTTTTACTCTAAAGCAAAAGAAACGAAAAGTTGTCTTAAGAGTTCTTAAGCTTAGCTAGAACTGAATGAAAACCATTTTCTGTCTGCTTCTTTCTCTTTCTCGCTCTCCATCCAGCAATTCCTAAGCCATTCCATTATTGATTTTAGAACAATTTCCTTTCTCTTTTCCTCACTCTCTCTCTCTATCTGAATACTCAATTAATTTTGTGATGCTTTTGAGAGTTCATAAATGAACTTGCCTTTCTTTACCAGAGAGAGAGAGAGAGAAAGAGAGAGAGAGAGAGAGAAAGAGAGAGAGAGAGAGAGAGAGAGAGAGAGAGAAAGAGAGAGAGAGAGAGAGAGAGAGAGAGAAAGAGAGAGAGAGAGAGAGAGAGAGAGAGAGAGAGAGAGAGAGAGAGAGAGAGAGAGAGAGAGAGAGGTATCTCTTCTTCTGCCTCCCAATCTCGCTCTGTCTCTTTTCCTTTCATCCTATCTCCCTCTCCCTTTCTGCCTCTGGCATTTCCTAAGTCAATTTATTATTAATTTGAGAGGTATTTCATTTCTCTCTCTCTCCCACTGGCATTCCCTTAGCCATTTCATAATCCGTTTATACTTCCAACATCATGTTAACCCAATTAACTATTAACCCAAATTCATATACAAGACACCATCCAAATCGACAAAACAATTTGCACATCACGCCGCACACTTCATCTAATTAGCCCAACAAGAAGAAGAAGAAATCAAAACTGAGACTCACGCATTTGCCAAAACAAAAATAAGAAAATACATGAGAAGGCATTGGGAATTGGCAGCCTCGCTTACATAATGATTGGATGTGGCTGATTGATGGATTGGCGAGAGATCACAGTGAGGCAGAGTGAAGGAACAGCCACTTGCCCGATCCAAACACTAATTCAATTGCTTTATAATTGAACTAAGGAGGCGCGACGCGAGCTTCAGTTGGCGAGCTGTGAGTGGCGCGGAGCGGAGCTGCTTTAATGAGTCTGCCACATGTGGGGCAGCTGGCTCAGCGGGTTTTTGGCCGCCAAGTTGGCCAAGTTAATAATTTAATGGTCAACGCTGTAATTTTTCCAGCAAAATTGATCAATAATCGCCCGTTGCCGCGTCCAATTCAATTCAATGAGATTCAATTCAATCGAATGCAATTGTAATTGAAAAAAATGAATCTCAAATGCCGAATTAATAAAAAAAATTTGTTGTGGCATGCGACCGTATGCTAGAGCTATTGAAGTCCGCTGTTGATCGATGATAGCCGAAGTCATTAGCTTAGATCTGGGCACTGCCCCTCCCACGGCGCGCCTGCTGCCAGACAAATGCGAATTTATGCGAGGTCTTAAGGCAACTGGCAAAGCTGCCGCGTGTCCTTTGTTTAATTAGCACGCTAAAAAATTAGTAAAAATGAAGTAAAAAACAAAAATACAAAATATATTTGCCATATAAAAGATGATCACATAAATATTTAAGCGGATTATGCGGCGATTTATCAAAAGCAATTAAAGAGCAACGAAAATGAGTTATTTTTTGATACGATTATTATTTAAGATTGTTTTTTTTCAGTTTTTGTTTTTGTTTCGTTCGTGGAATGCGCTTTGATGACAAATAGTAGCAAAAATGTTGCGCCATCAATTTTTTGTGCTGCTGCGAGCAGGAGGCTGAGGAGACTGAGGAGGAGGCGAGTAGT